TACGTCTACATCAGCTCGGGCGCTACAACTCACTCGGGAGCCGACATACTCAAAGCAGTTTAAAAAGCGAAAGAAGATGTAAAACTTACTTTTGGCATAGTTGCATATCTTTGCAACCACTAGGTTGCACCGTTTCGCTTGAAGCTGCTTCCAGTACGTGCACAAGGACAAAGTAGAAAACCGAATACGCTGCTCCAAATTACCTCCAATCTTCAAAGTCATATTCAGTTTGAGATGAGTAGATCTTTCGATATTCACGTCTTTCAAATGCTTTGTGTAACGTTCACTTGACTTCTTAACATGTTGTTGCCACATTTCGCGTTCCGAAATGTCAATTTCTTCCAAATATTGAGAAAATTCACGCTCCACCTCCTCGTCACTTTTTGCGACTATTTCACTCTCATCTCCAACGGCATAATTCACTTTGTTTTCTTGAAGTAAATTTTTAGCGTTCGAGGATTCGTTGATTACTTTGGCCAACTGAAAGTAAAAGATATTTTAGACTATTACTGGCACAAAAACAAATTTTATGTTAAAAGTTCAAAGTAAAAGATAAACAATGTAAAATATAGGCTGTCACGTTAAGGTTGAATAGCTTACCCCTTCTTTACGATAATTTAAAGAAATTTCTCAGTACATAAGAAATCTAAGCTGACTTTATATAAAATTACCGTCAGTCCTAAAAGCTTTTTTAATGAATGCTAGGCCATTTGAACAAAGCATGTGAAGGGAAGATATTCTATTCACAAAGAGTCCCAACCGTTTAAAATTTCAGAAGAAAAGTTCCGGTGTAAGTATTTGCTAGATCTTCTTCTACAGCAATACTATACTATAATTAGCTTAACTTTGCTTTTCCATCTTGGTCGGGTCTTTGGGTCGAAATAGCTGGAATTGCCTGATTAAAAGTATTTTTCATAATAGTAGATGTGTTTTCAGAATCATACTGTTCATTTGATACATTTAAGAGGTTTAATAGGCATTTAAAATTTATTACTAATATTGCAATAGGCTTAGGACCATGGACTTGTTGCATTTAGGATATTAATATTCCTTAATTTCTGTCTATAGATACTTTATTATTTTGAAATAACGTGTTATTTGCTAGAAATTATTTCTAGGTTTATATTTTTAGTGGACGATGAATTATTGTCGACTTTTATTAAGCACATGTGCAAAAAACGATTCTTTACAAATTTTGAATAGATCCAAATTACTGGCTTATTTCATGTACTT